TTATCAAACACATTTTCAAATTCAAATCCTATCCTCGTAATAAAACCCAACTCAACTTTTTCAAAATAATACTCAAAAGTTAAAATAATAATAAAAAAAAAGAGCCCTAGTTTTAGGGTATATTTTCTAAAAAGCCCTACAAATATGAATATTTTCTACTTTAGTCCCGAAAACAAGGCCTAAAGGGTAAAAAGCAAGAAAAGCAAGGACAATTAGGGAAAAACACAGGAAAATTGAACTCAAACATTAACCTAGAAAAAATAACATAACAGAACACTTTGGGCTTGGTATATAAATCTTACACACTACTCTTAGCCTCCTTCCCTTTAACTCCACGGCGCAGATCCGAGGAGTTTGGAAGAAACCCTAACAAAAGTCTCTCTCTTTTGCTCTCAAAACGCACCTAAAACTCTCAAAGTTTCTCTTTATTGATCATCAACACTAGCAGGTCACCATTTCTTTGTGTAAATCTCTTAAAGCTGCCTGATTTATGGTTTTTTTAATATGTTTTATGTGTGTTGATGTGCAAACGATTTTTTTTTTGGTGGGTTTGGTGTATTTTGTTTGTGGATTGATTTGATTTGATGGGTTTGTGTGTTTGGGATCTGGGTTTGATCTGACTTTTTCTGGGTTTGTTTCAGTTTTTGGTTTTGGGGGTCGGATTGGTTCGTTGTTTGTATTGTTTGAGACTAATCAAAGCTTGTATTATTGTTTGGTTTTGATATATTTTCTTTTATATATATTTTGGGAGACATGATACAAGATTAGACAGGTGTTCTTATTTATGTATTTGCTTTGGTCGGAGGCGATATATAAGCTGATATCTCGATAATTAAATAAATTTAATTTCCTTAGTGAAGTGGGAATCCTAATTAATGTTCTATTTCAATCGTCTTGTTTCAGTAGGATTCATATTATAAAGTATACTTCCTTTCTCATTAAGTTTTCTATAGATATTAGGATTTTGTCATTAGTATAAATACAAGGGATCTGTCCGCACTATTCTTATATCGGTTACAAAAATCTAGTCTACATGTTCAAAGAATTTATTTTCTTAAAGTTTAGTTTGTATTTTCAAATCAGTTCAGCTACTTCAGTTACAATCGGTAAGTTTATGAGTGTTCATAAGCTTAATTTTGGAAGCATTTTCTTACGGGTATGTTTGTGTCTAGGGGGATAATTTATTCAGGTGATTAAGGAAGTGAATTGGGCTGGGCTACGTCGGTGGGCGGCCCATAAGAGTTGAGCAAAAGCGCTAGGGTTAGCAATTTAGCATAACCTTTCGGAGACAGATTGATTTCAATCGTTGCTGCTTTATTTACTCTTTATTTATCCATTATTCCTTGAACTCTATTTTTTTTTTTAATCGAATAAATTCCCTTATTTTTCAATTATTATTGGGATTACGTTGTTTTACGATCTCATTAAGTTTAACAATTTTTAGCTCTGAATTTCGATCTCTCTCTGATTGCCTTCTAACTCGGTATGTTAATTGAAACTGGGTATCCTTGTTTTTTTTTTTAATCCTTGTTTGAGCAGTATGTTTTGTGATTAGAATAAATATTATTGAATTCTGTGTTTGATCGTGTTTTCTTCAATATAATCAGTAACGTTCCTGAATTCACAGATCCCACAAATTTTTTTTTTTTTATATACTGTTAAAGAAATATCCCTCATCATGACAATTTTGTTATGTTTCAAGTTATTCATTTTGTTATCAATACAATTTTGTAAAGTTTTCCTTTGTTGAACAGAAAACCACTCGAAAATGGGAAGCCAGCTAACTCCCGAAGAGATCCATGAGATTCACAACGACTTGAAGAGAGCAATGAACATGGAGGTTCAAACATCCGAACAGGCTGCAGAGCAAGAAAACTTGATGGTGACAATTTTAAGCCGTCTGCGTAATCGAAGCCTTGCCATGGAACATCGTGAAGCCTTTGAGGTAGTGCTCTGTTCCTGTTTTCACTACCATTCTTATTTACTTCATTAATGTTTTGGTTCAGTTTTCACTAACTACCTACTGGTATTCTCATTCATGTTTTGATTTTGACATTGCAGGCAGGTGTGGCTCTAGGCATGCTATCACAACACAGTGATTCTGATGTCTGAGACAGGGCCATAAGTCATGATTATTGATACTTATAAGAAGTAATTTTTTTTTAAATTCAATTTGTGGTTGTAGAAGTATTAAAAAAAATGAACTTTAAATTTTATAATTTTCTTTTTATGCAATTTTAATTGAGGATATTATCATAATATATATATTTTTTTTTTCTGAAAGTCGTCGTGCCCATGAATAAGATATTAATATCATATATCACGGATTGCTATATAATAGTAATCAGCAGCAGCTTTGAACTATGAATCAGATCATCTAGGATGATAGCATGCAATTATGAAATTCATAGAAAATTAGGCTCCGTGTGGCTCACATTTTTGCGTTTTTGGGAAAAGTTTTTTAAAAAAAGTTGAATAACATTCATGGGATCTGGATCCAAATTCAGATCGTCGGTGGGTAGCAAAAATAGGGTTACTGACATTTTCATCCTTGAGGTTTGGTATATGATCCGTTTAGTCCAATAAAATAAAACTTTTAAATGAAAATTTGTAATACCATGTTATCTTATTTTCATATTATTAGAAATGAATAAAATATATGTATTAAAAAAAGTAAAAAATTGGATATTTTTAAATTTTTTACGTTGTTCATTTTGGTTTTTGCTTTGACAAATTTTTGTATTTAAAATTATGGTCATTTCTAATAACATATGAATAAGAGGGCAAGGATATTATAGACTTTTTATTAAAAAACTCGTATTTGACAAGACAAAATTATTCGTATCCTATAATACTGGAGGTAAATACAACTCCAAACTTTAAGAACGAAAGTGTAAAAAGGCTAAAAAAATATAATGTGAAACTTTCTTAGCCCATTATACAGGTGTTTGTCATATAAATGATCTGACAATTCAGATCACCGTTGGAATTTGGAGGTAGGTAAAGTTAACTATTGCAAAACTTATAACATGAAACTTGTAAACCTAAAATGTAAAACTTATTTATACTTATTTATATGACTCTATTATAGTTTTAGAATTTCTAAGTAATTAGACGTAAGTTTCATATTATTCCTTCTAATTTCTATGATAAAATATAATTATGTATTTACTATTCAAGTAGGACATAATCAACTGGTATGAGTAAGTTATTCAAAACAATTAAAAAGAGTGTAAAACAGATTTATAGTATCATTAATAATATTAGATGATATTACACAGATATTAAGATAGATTATATAGATGATATAATAAGTCCCATAAAAATTATTGTAGGAAAATGACCCATTTAATTTCCACACGCTCCATTGACAAGTCTCTTGTTCTTTTCTTAAAGGTATGTGTTGACTTGTTGACTTTAAAGAACCACCCTAGAAGCTAGATTAAGTCTCTTGTTCTTTTCTTATACGTAATGTTGACGTGTGTTTATTTTCTAGTAACTGATCAATGTTTATAGTCAGAGAAAGACCAAAGGGATCTTTGACTTCCAACAAATTTTTGGAGAGAGTAATAACTGGGTTTGATAATAATCAACAAAGGGAGGACCCTCCACTTGAGAAAAAATTATACAAGTTTTGTCTCAGCCCCGTGACTTTTGATTAGTATGTATGACTGATGAATTATTATGAATAATACTTTGGGTGCTAATGGATGAGTACTAATATGTGTACTAACTAAAACATAGTACCCGTACTATGCGCATCGTTTTTCAAAATAATTGAACGGTGATAACGCATTAATGGTGGTGACTGAGATCACAGCTGTTCGTTCTTTACAATTTTGGAATTCAAGTGGGGGTGATATCATGGACTGAAGCCGTGTTTACTACGTAAGCTGATTGAAACGTGAGAAATGATCACGGCCTTAACTTTGTTGATTTATGGCCATGACATGGATTATCATTACTTATTATTATCAAAATAATAATAATAATAATAATAAAAGGTTTAAGGACTTAATATGTTCACTAACCTAAGGTCTAAAAAGAAATGAAATAATCACTTAATTAGATCCTAGATCAAAGCTTCATAAACAATCAAACTACTATACATGCAAAAAAATAAAAAATAAAACGTATAAAAGTAAATAGTCGTATTCAAAACTCTCAACTGAAAATCATTCAAATAAATTCCAATTTATGATTACAACCACCCCTTGAATCAAGGGAGAACATTAACATATTAATATAAATAAATTTTCGCAAAGATAAGATGATTGAGTGTTTTTTTGTGATATTGAAGATGGTTGGACCAGAAGTACTGAGTGTGTTTTTCTGGGAAATTTCATATCAACATAAGAGTTGTGACGCAAGCTTTCCCCAAAAGTACGGCCCGCTTTCATGAAAAAGACGGCAACTTCCCATTCAGGCCTTTGCAGATTCCGCGTAATTACTCCAGTCATCCCCACCCCAGAACTGATTCATGAAAAAGAAGACAACTTCCCATTCAGGCCTAGCAGATTCCGCGTAATAACTCCAGTCCATGTTGGTTTCCACGTTTCACAGATTAGTCCCCACCACAGAACTGATTCATGAAAAAGACGGCAACTTCACATTCAGGCCTAGCAGATTCCGTGTAATTAGTCCGGTCCATGTTGGTTTCTACATTTCACAGATTAGTTCCCACCACAGAATTGATTCATGAAAAAAGAAGATAATATTAGTTGACCCTTCTTTTTTTTTTTTTTTCTATTTATAACCTTGTATGTCCTTGTGATTTCATCATTCGGAAAAAAATGGGTTGTCTATTCTGGGTTTATCAAATTTTATACATTCAGTTGTTATATTTGTGCTCTCAAAGTTCTGCAACACTCTGCTCTCATGACCAGAGTTCTGCACTCCTCCAATTTAAGCAACTCTTTTCCTTTGTCAATCGTTCGTCCTTTGATTGTGATTATTTTGCAGACTATTCAGTTTTTTTTGCATTTAATAGTTATATCATTGATACTCCACCATATTGTGATGGAAGGTGTCCTTCTTATCCTAAAACAATGTCTTGGAAAGAGGATGAAGATTGCTGCTCTTGGGATGGTGTCACTTGTGATTCTTTAACAGGTCATGTGATTGGTCTCGATCTTAGTTGTGGCTGGCTTCAAGGAAATATCCCTTCCAATAGTAGCCTTTTTCTTCTCAATCATTTGCAAAAGCTGAACTTAGCTTACAATGATTTCAATCTCTCTCAAATTCCTCCTGATTTTAATCGATTCACTAGTTTGACACACCTTAACCTTTCCCACTCAAACTTTTCTGGTCAAATTCCATCTGAAATCACCCACTTATCTAAATTGGTCAAGCTTGATCTTTCTAAAAATTCCCTTGAAACAGCTACTGTAAAGGGGTTAGTTCAAAATTTGACCGATTTAACGGAACTTCTTCTTGATCGTGTAAATATGTCTACTGTTGTACCAAGTTCCTTCATGAATCTATCTTCTTCTCTGTCTTCTTTGAGTCTCTTGTATTGTAAATTGCAAGGGAACTTTCCAGATAACATCTTTCTCCTACCCAACTTAAAAATCCTGAATTTAGCATATAATTACAACTTGACAGGTATTTTGCCAAAGGTTAACTGGAGTAGCCCTCTCAGGTATTTGGATGTCTCTGAAATGACTTTGCCTGGAGAATTACCTAATTCCATCGGCAATCTCGTGCACTTGACGCATTTGGATTTCTCTGGTTGCAGTCTTAATGGGTCAGTTCCTATTTCACTTGGAAACCTTACAAAACTCAATTATTTGAGGCTCTCAGTTAATAATTTTGCAGGTCAAATTCCTTCATTTCTTTCCAATTTTGATCAGCTTCATACATTAGATCTTGGAGGCAATAACTTCATCGGTGGATTTCCAGAATTTTTTGTCAACTTAACTCAACTTTCTGTTTTAAGCTTACGGTCTAATCAACTAGCTGGTCCAATCCCTTCTCACGTAAGTCCCCGTGGAATTCTAGTTTATATTAGTTTATATAATAACTCTTTCAATGGGTCCCTACCATCTTGGCTATTCACTCTACCTTTATTACAGTATGTAGACCTCACTTATAACCAATTAACTGGCACTATAGATGAATTTCAAAGTAAATCTTTGAAATTTATTTATTTAGATAATACTCCCTCCGTTTTCTTTTAAGTGACGTTTTGGGTGTGGGCACAAATTTTAATAAAAAAGTAAAATTCTCTCTCCCACTATTTTTTTCCCTGATTTTGCAGGGTGGGAGATACTTTGAAAGTGGGAAATATTCCCGCCTATTTAAATAACCTTTTTAATCATTTTGTCTTATTCATTTGTCTCTCCCACAGTCCCACCAACTTCATCTGTTTCTTTTCTTTTAAGCTGCTCCGGTTCTTTAATTTTTTTTCGTCCCTCAGTTGTTTTTGTTCTCTTTGATTCTATTCAATCAGTCACCATGGCCGAACAATGTAATAGTAGAGTTGTACTTGGAGAAATTGATTTAAATATTCTTCCAACATTAGAAGCTNATTTACAATAAATCAGATTACCAGGGAGTCTAGAACTTGCTTTTGCTTTCAATTCAACTCTACCTGAAAACTTCATAACGGCAACAAGAACCCCATTAAAGTCAAAGATCACAATCTCTTCTTGTGATATAAAATAACTTAAACGACAGTTATAAAAGCAAAATTTTTGGAAGAAAAATCGAAACAAAATCAACCACCAAAATTTAAACACATCTTACCAAAGATTTATGCATTCTCTTAATGAGAAAGAAGAAAAAGCGATCTTTCATTCCAGGAACATCTTCTCTTGGGTGAAATAAAAGTGACAGGGTACGTTAAAGAAGCTTGGGAGCGAAGGCACGTGGAGGGTCGAATGTTGACAATATACCGTATTAAATCCATATATACCCATACTGTATTTTTTCCGTATCCAAATTTTAAGGCCAAATTTTTATAAACATATTTTTCACTGTTTGCCGTATCATTCCCGTAAAATTCCCATACTATTTTTTTACCGTGCTCATATTTACTAACTATGATTTTTGGCTGCTCTCCATTTCTGCTCACATCTGTCACTATCTTCTTCTCTTTCTCATCTTCAAATGGGCCCTTAATGGGCCTAAGATTTTCATGTCAATTGGGTTCTTCTTGTTCTCATCATCAAACGGGCTCCAAATGGGCCTAAGACTTTCATGTCAATTGGGTTCTTCTTTTTCTCATCACCAAATGGGCCGAAGATTTTCATGTCAAATCAGTTCTTTCTTCTCATTATCAAATGGGCTCTAAATGGGCCTAAGATTTTCAAGCTCGATGGGCATTTGTTTTTCTCCTCAAATGGACTGTAAATTCCCTATCATTTAACATAAATCGCGAGAGAAAGTCTATGGTATCATACAGGTATGATTGACGTGATACTATAAGACCATGCATTATATTTAATAATTATCCATCGCAATTAATTTAAAGATATAGAAGAGAGAAAAAAGTCATGAATGACACAAATTCACTAATTATATTTAATAATTATCCATCGCAATTAATTTAAAAATATAGAAGAGAGAAAAAAGTCATGAATGACACAAATTCACTAGAAGCCTTTGTTGAACAGAAAACCACTCGAAAATGGCAACCCAGCTAACTCCGGAAGAGATCCATGAGATTCTCAAGGACTTGAAGAGAGCAATGAACATGGAGGTTCAAACATCCGAATAGGCTGCAGAGCAAGAAAACTTGTTAGTGACAACTTTAAACCGTCTGCGTAATCGAAGCCTCTCTATGCCACATCGTGAAGCCTTTGAGGTAGTGCTCTGTTCCTGTTTTCACTACCATTCTTATTTACTTCATTAATGTTTTGGTTCAGTTTTCACTAACTACCTACTGGTATTCTCATTCATGTTTTGATTTTGACATTGCAGGCAGGTGTGGCTCTAGGCATGCTATCACAACACAGTGATTCTGATGTCTGAGACAGGGCCATAAGTCATGATTATTGATACTTATAAGAAGTAATTTTTTTTTTTTAAATTCAATTTGTGGTTAGTTAAGATATTCCAGTAACTAAAAAACTTAATTAAATGGAAAAAAAGCAATCATAATAAATGGGCCCAATTTCCAATAGCTCTGATCGCAGCAAAAAACCGATATAACTTTTAGAAACGTGAACTATTCCAATAATTAATCAACATCTCATTAGCTATATAACATATCCATAATAGAAAAGATTTCACCTTTAGAAAATGGTATATATATCATGTTGTTGGCACACGAACTGAAGACATTTACCTGCTGAAAAGTTCTTTTGAAACCTGAGTGGGATCTTATGGTTGTGCGACACATCCATGTGACATGTTCATAATATCTAGAGAACTCTTGTCTTTAAACAGAATAGCTCACTTAAGTCTTAATCATGCATCTTATCACATAATCTTGCTTTGAATAGAAACGATTACATAGAGGAGAAAGGGTTAGTGAATACTTTGGTGGCACCAATGGAGGGACAGTTCCCTGGTCAAAAGGAAACTGAACGGAAAATAATGTTTTGTTGCTTCCATGTTGAACAATGAACTGTTAAAACTACCGTTCCCAACTAATCTTGCTTAAATCTGAAGTCATGTACAACCTGAAAAGGATTACCATCGAGAGAGTTAATTAATACTCATTTAACAGGAACCAAATAAAGATATTTTCTCTGGTCAAAGGAGTTCGGATTGGGATATAATGGCTTTGTTGAACATCCAGATTAAAAAGTTCTAATTCTAGATGAAAATTGCATTCAACAAATGGCTTTGACATGTGGAACATCAAAACAATAATGTGACATCCAGAAACTTATTATCCAGAACACAAACATTCAGGAACGATCAGCACTCTGAAAATGTACCAGGTGTTGCCCGCTATTCAGTCCATCCGGACAGAGATAAACAATCAAATTTCGATATCTGATGACATAATTCTTACTGGTGCCAAACAACAAACTTTTCCCAAGAAGACTCCCTTTGCATGCCCGTTTTTGTTAAACAATCAAATCCTATGCTTGTGACTGGACATAGTAGAGTTTATCACATCGAAGACACAATACACGCAAACTCATCTCCCAGCCCAATGACACAGCAACTGTTCAAATCAATTCCCGCCAGAACAACATGACCACACTTACCTTTGCTACCGTCATCATCTCACGCGTTCACAGTGACACACTTGCATTTTTAGCTCAATTACGCATAGGTACAAACAATCTCCAAACTCCAAAAACTCGAGACTACTTGAAAAAGTATGATAATGGAAAGATCCGTAAAAACTATACCAACAGACTCACATCAGAATCCTAATCAGAACTGCTAGAACTACTAAAGAGGCATCTAACTCATTTTTTGTTCTGATACATAGGAAAATCCATCAATCTTTGCTACATGTCCACCAAGTCATTATCTGGGTTTCAACCAGACTGCAAATCTACACGCGCGTTGGGCAGGAACTTACCTGGTAGACAATGTATGTATTAACTGACATCCCAATCACGGTACACTTCGGGGGATTCAGCCCTTGACTTATCAGGCTTTTACACAAGGTCAACCACTTGGTGTTAGGAAGGTACTTGTCCAGTCACTTGCTAGGTTATCCAGACAAATTCATGAAACATCAAAGATTGCACAGGTAGAAAAAACAGAATAATTTATAATAGAGGGTATAATCTTTGAAGGGGACGGAAGTCTTACTCCCAGTAACTCTTAGCAAAGGCTCATTCTCAAAAATAATGATGAAGAGGGGTTAACTGTGGTAAAAGTAACCAAGCTCCAGATTTATTGCGCAGGGATGCCATCAAACTGCCACGCAACTCCTACAAAAGTAAGCAATAAAAACCAAAAAGCAGCCAATGCAAAGCTAACTCACAGGCCCACACACAACTAGAATAACCTGAGATATCATTATTATCAATCAGAAAAAACAGCCAAGATACAATCTTCATCATAAACAAAGGAAACAAGTATTTTAACATAGTTTTCCCTACCTGTGTGCGAACGCCAGTTATCGAAGCCACCACAATCCACACGCACTTCACTGTCCAAGGAGTCCCAAAATGACAAAACCCGCCAAAGCTTAAACTCAAAAGAGAAGCTCGAGTCGAGCTATTACAGCCAACTACAAGTGGCTTACTAAATCTGTAAAGCTGATAGTTTTCCTTTATTCGCCATTGAAATATTCCTTTAATTATAATTAATCACCGTACAGGCATCTAAACAGCACGCACTGACTGGACCTAATAAAAGTACTAGTAATCTATGCTTCCACATAAAAAACTAGAAAAATGAATAACAACACATTAGGCATCAGAAACCACTTAATAAAGATAAACCCTCTTATTACTTCTTTCCACCAACCAACAAAATTGTTCAGAATTAACACTTAATGCCGAAAAATTCATAGTTCCAAATTACCCAGATAAAAAATAAAACCAAACTCTAAACAAGTTCTTTGAAGCATTATCAAACACCTTATACAGTTACACGAAATCAAAGGTGAATACTAACAAGGCATTAGAAAACACTCTATAAAGATAAACCTCTTCATTACTTCTTCTTTTCACCAAACCAACAAAATGGGTCAGAATTTCTGCTCAGCTACCACACTAAATATACAAATCCTCCTCAGTTAGAATACGATATACCCAAAAAAAATATAAGTTCTCTAACTAACCGGGAGTTGTGGAAAGTTTCCCTCATAAAAAAAACTCAACAAATGTAGGAACAACACGCAGCTGTGTATACACTCTACCCATAGGAGGGCTGCGTTCTGGCAAAAAACGGAGAAATACAAGTTCAGTTGTCATAAAAATATGCAATGAAGAATCAGCGAATCAAATTGTGCATTACAAGAAGCAACGAATCTCACCAATTGACAACAATTTCCGGAACGAGTTGTTGCAAGCTGTAGATACCATCATCTGTCAAACACCAGCTACCATAGCTGGTAGATGTTCCCAACTGTAATCATGCATTCAATTACTACATGAGAACATCATCAACAACCTTGAACGTTCCAAGCACTTCAAACCTAAACTAGAATCAACCCTTCATAGGAAATCAAAGAAATCAAAATAAACCACATAACCCCATAAAGATGAGCTCAAATTCATTAAAGCAAAAAATCATACTTAATCTCAAAAGTCAAATC